ATAAGGTAAGTATGAGCTTTGTTTTAATTTCGCCTGTATTTAGACTGGAAAACTCATCCTCCAGCACCAGCAGCAGCCTCCACAGGTATTTCGTTTTTATTTGATTCTGAATAAGGCATGACTAGTGACATTTCTGGTGATGATGATCTTCAATATTTTTCAGGTATTGACCTGTGGAGACTTTTGGATCAAGATGCACACAGATGCAAAGCGCCACAGCTAATGCAACTGTGGAAGTAAACCGATACCTGGCTGATCCGCCCCTGGGAAGAACTGATGACCCCCTCACATACTGGGCCACCCATAAAACTGTTTACCCAAACCTCTATGAATTATCCAAGCATTTCCTGTGTCCCTCAGACTCATCTGTGCCATGTGAACGTTTTTTTCCAAGGCTGGGGAAATAGTCTGTAAAAGGAGAAACCGCTTCTGTTTGAACACTGTGGATTAACTGTTATTTCGCAATAAAAACTCAAACACTTACAGTACACAAGCACACCCTCTTTACCCACATACCCATGAACCTCTTGACCAATAAACCTCAAAACACACTTTGCCAAGGTCCATACTATAATCTGTATTTGCACCAGTCCCATGTTTAAATGACATCTGTCTGAATATGTAGAACACATCTCATGAATGTAGCAGCACCATTTAGAATAACACAAAATATAAGTGAAGGAGTATATAGGATTACACTCAGAGGTGCCAAATAAGACGCATGGTCTTCAACATGAGTCCATGTTTATTTTATCTTTTATTGTGTGAGCTTGAAACCATACAACCATGCAGTGTAGTCGAACAGGAATGTGCATGGAGAATCAAATCCCAAACAATCCATGAGCCAATAAGTGACACGTCTTGACTTCATTTTATTGACCACTAGATGTCCTACTCGAGCACTGTGTCATTGAGGCCTCGAGTAATGAACCATTTTTGTGAACACTGTGTCAAAGCTTCAACAAAGCCTTGATCACCCATCACTAGATGCAGAAGTGGTGAGCTGAGAAAACGGAGACAACAAGAGCAACGAAGCATGGAGACAAAATCAAACAAGACTTTGGGCTCATGCAGATAATGTCCATCCTTTCAGAAACAAAGGTGGATATGTTATGTTATAGAGCCATAAAAGCTCTTAAGTGATTGTAGACTGGAGTAAAGCTGAGGCAAGTGAGGTGACAGAAAACAGGAAACTAACCAAAATAAAAGCCTGAAACAGAAAGCAGGTCCACAAATCATAACAGGCTGTGCCATTTGCTGCTGATCTGGTCGCTGGGAATAAGGAATGTTTAGCATTTTTAATTGAAAAATGATTCAAACAACTGATCAATTAACTCACCTTAACTTATATTAACTTGCCAACTGACTAATCAATTCACTGAAATGTTTTGGCTCTAATACACTTACCTTATATCTTTAAAATAATCAAATTTAGGACTCACTGAAATGTAACTGTACTGAACGCATTTTTATTCCAGTAATTTTAAGACTGAGAGAACAACAGGAAGAAAAAGAAAAGCAAAGATTAGTTGTTGAACTGTAATTATGACAAACCATGTCATATTTTTAAGAAATATGTTACATTTTGGTCATTTCAATAAATTAGCTACTACATTTATCTCTAAATGTTTAACTAACCAGTGACCTGATATCACCTCTCAAGATTTCTGGCTCAGTATGACAAGGTGGCTCAGAGACCATGTGACACCACGGTACCAGGCAAGGTGTGTCTACAGGGTGACGTTTCATTAATCCTTATTTAATTAGCAGCTTTTTCTTTCTGGCTTATTAATATGTGGAGCTTCTTATTCATAGGACTCAAAATGAATCATCTTAATCTAATGTTGAACAATCGTGTATTCATGTGACATTGTTTCATACACATTAGAGATTTGGGTTGTTTTAATTACTTTACATTTAGAATTCAGTAATGCAAATTCTTAATGTTTCCTCATTGTGTGTATGTGCTCATCAAATTTGTATTTCAGCCTGGTGGCTTGTGAACCCAGAGAACCCAGAGACCATGTGACACCACAGTACCAGACATGTAAGGCACAGTGAAGCCTATGAGCAGCAAACAAGATGCGTTTCAGTTGGTTTGATTGATAGAAGGAAAACGGTTTATTGAGAAATTTGTCTGATTAGAAGTTAGGACAGGGAGTGACAGGTTCTCTGTTGCACATCTAATGGTGCGACACCTACCTTAAAATGGAAAATCCCTGCATAAGACTTAGACAGGCTTTGGTTGGGTGGCACCACCTTCGCAAACATATAGGGGTGCAAAGTCAGACAGGACAGGGACGCCATCACCCAGCAGTCACCTGAGAACAGATATAGACATAAACTGTAGATATAGTCTATATAGTATCTGGGGGCTTGTTACCTTTTGCTTTGCATTAGAAGTTGAGTCCTTGTGGCTGCAGCTAACATCAGGTTCTGAAGTCACTGCATTTTATTGTAATCAATAAAATACAAACAAACTGAACTATGTCAGTGTGGAATTCTTCTTCTTATGGTTTTATTTCCAGGATGTTGTGCATGATTGATTTCAAGTTCAACTCTCATTCTTTGGGAGGTTAGATGAGTGGTGGGCAGGAGCACCAGCTAATAACCCTTAATCGGGCCATGCTCACGATCAAGGATTGGCCCTCTGTAAGCGGCCATCTTGATTTTTGACCCTTCCAGAGTCTGCACATCAACTTTTCTAACTGGTTTGACTTTTGTCTCATTTTGAAAAACAAAAATCTACTGTAACAGTCCTACATCCAAACAAAAGTGAGAGTTTTTCTGACGGACTCACTCAGTTTGCCCTGACACACATCCGTGGTCCCAAACGTCTCGTCCACAAACACAGCATTCTCCTTGATTTCCTTGACAAATGGAGCAATAGGAGAACAATGTGAGCACAACATGCTGAGATACCATTTATAATTGAAAAACAAGCAATCTGAAGACATCTGGGGCTCTGAGAAGTTGGGATGACATTTTTTTTTCAGTATTTGACACCTACATTGAGAACAAATGTCTTTATCACCCTCGTGTTCCTATTCATATTCATCATAAATATACATGTGGTACCCCTTTGTTCCAAGTTTTCTATTTCTTCATGTTATTTAATGCTTTTGACAATGCATCCTTTCAGCCAATAGTCCTGAACACTTCAAGTGAATATTTCATTTGTGCTGTGGCCTTTAACTCACAAAATGTCAAAGACTATTGTAGCGTTGAGGGCAGAGAGACAGTTGGCAGGATCCCCCATATTGGCCCTCTGGGCAGTGTGTATGTAGCCGAGGGTTTGGTGGGGATTGTGTGTTTGTTTTATTTTGTTGTTGCTGTGTGTTCCCCAGTGGTGTGTGTAATAAAATAGCGGATCGTGGAGTGCAGAAAAGGCAGTCTGTGTCCACGAGTCCTTCAACCCAGTTGACGTTACATTGTTATGAAGCACAGAGAGGTGTTTATTGAATAATTACTGTCCTACAAGCACAACACAATATATAACACAGCTGCCTGAATGTGTACCACACTGTGTACATATTATTGGATTGATATGAAGCAAAATTAAACCAATAAGAAGGATCAATATCTGGCTTCTTTTCACTGCTTCACTAACTCTGTCGCCAATTTTTCTCATATCCGAAGTGTATGTACGCTCAGGTGAGAGTTTAACTATAAGCGGGATCAAGGCTGTAACTAGATACTGTAATTAAAACATCCTCCTGAGTGAGTATTTAAATATTTACATACATGCTGTATATAAAAGATGTGCTACTGTTGGTGAATGTACCTTTTATAAAGAACCGTCAGTGAGATGGGTGCCTTTTTCTTAGCTTGAGCCCCTGCCCCCCCCCCAAATATCTGTACATAGCCCTGCAAGTTAAAACTAATTTCACGGTTGTACTACAACATCTGGTTGACGATGGGCACTTATTACATAATCCAACATATATACAACATAACTGGACATCAAAATGGACGCACCTTGGGTCGCAGCCACTCAATCTCCTGTTTGACCTTTGGGTCTAGATCAGGTTTATCGATGGATTTCTCCTCAGCTGGAAAGGTTGGATCACAAAACAGCTTACCAGACTTCAGAAACTCCATACAGAGAGTCTTGTAGTCTTGGCCCTGAAACTTGATCGGGTTCTCGATGGAGCCCAGAGGTGCCAGTGTGGTGTCAGTCGCCATGCTGTGTCAGTCTCAACCAAGATGCAAAATGAGCAGGCTTAAATACAGTTCAAAGCTCACACCCACTAGTGGGGCGACCTTGGAGCACCTCCCCAGCTCTGCCCATGCTTGAAAGGTATGTAGAGCGCCACAGGCAGAGTGGGAGTAGTGACAGCCTGGCAACAGCCTCCTTGATCTGTCAGATTTTCTGTCCATCATCACCATCATCCTGAGTGGACAGAAAGGGCCAACAAGCTGCAAGAATGGAACATCTGTGCAGGGGCTACATTTTGATTAAATAAGGAAGCTTAGATTAACTTAGATTAACTACAGATCTATTTGTCAGTCATACTTAGAGATATTTATTTAAGGCTGGTTTGATGCAAAGGAGGCTGGTTAGAGTGTTTGTTCTACTGTAGATCAGATGAGTCCTCCTTAAATTCTTTAAAACCAGCATTAGATGTCTGTCTACTCCACCTAAAACAACAACCCTAAAAACAACAGATCACAAAGCATCACATTTACAGAGGGATTAACTGTCAGCTGGTTGTGATGCTGATGATAAATAAGGTGACGAAGAGACAGGCATATTAAACAAATAATGGGGAAATTAAGGTCTGTTGGACTGAAAGTAAAA